ACAGTGCATTCTCCTTTTGGTCCCTGAAGGCCCGTATAGCCCCTGTTCCCCTTGCTCCCTTTCAAGCCAATCGAACCCTTTTCTCCTGGATGGCCAATTGGTCCAACATCTCCTTTTACCCCAGGGATTCCACGAGGCCCATCCTCACCCACGTCGCCCTTAATTCCCTGGGTCCTTGACGCCCTTGCTTTCCATTTGGACCCGGAGCTCCTGTAGGACCCAAAGGTCCCCGGGGACCGGGTATCCCAGGTTCTCCTTTTTCTCCTTTGTATCCTGGATACCCGTGCGGACCGGAATCCCCGGGGGGCCCGGAGGTCCTACTTGACAAAGTTTGTCCTTGCTGGTGCACGCTTTACTTAATTTCTTGTCTATTTCCAGGCGGACTTGCTCGAAAGACATTGTTGGTGCATTTGGTCCAGGTGTTTGACCGACATTTCTTCTCTTTCTATAGCGATGTTCTGAAAATGGTTCCACCTTGTTTTCAGGGTCTGTTCAGAAGTAAGTATAGGAAATCGTTTTAATGAGAGTTCAAGCTCCGTTTTGAAACTGTTTCCACCGACCTTCTCAAACTCATTAATAATTCGTCAAGTTAAGACAAATTAAAGAAAAGCGCAACTGTGAAGGAGGTTGGATACCCGGCCTTAATTAACATAGATTTTGACGATTTTACTTCTCCGTTTTCTCCTTAGATTTTGTTTCGATTGAGACGATATATCAAACTCTCTAGAGCGGTACAAAGAGCACGACCACTCAGGACGCTCGACGCATATAATATGCGTCCTTGGGAGTCAAAGGGTTAAAAAAACGCAAGGCCCGGCGACATTTTCAATTTCCTGCGGTTTGAAGAGCGTTTTCGAAAAGCTCCGTTTTCGTGGCGGATCAGTATAGATGGTGGGCCTAACCGTAGACATAAATCTGCGTTTTAAAATTTCTCCACTGTAGTGTAGACGGGGTGTGAAATACGTACGGACACAGACCACGGTACACTTACACGTGACGCATTGATCACGACAGGCAATAGCGATCTGATATGCGGTGATATGCCGAATCCATTCTCACGATAAAAAAAAATTAGCAACAATTTTTAGGAAAATAAGTTTAAACTAACGGAGAATAATCTACAAAGCTCTGATTTGGAAAGCTTAAAAATAAACCAAATACTGAAAACCGGAGTGATAGCATATCCGAAATCAATTTTAAAAAAAACTCAGACACTGACCTCTAGATCTTTCACTGAATTGTTGTCTGAGGAAGGTAAGACCGTATATAGGAGATTACCGATAAATGAATTGCTATTAAACGGCAATGGTTTCCACTGTCTCTCTGTAAATGACTTTGTTCAAACTATGGCAGGTATCTCTTTCGGTTTACCTGAGTACGTAGCAATTTTTACGGAGTGAAATGAGATTGTAAAGTCACAGATCTCCTCAACCAGTACTCACCGGACTCCTTGCTATTTCTTTCTGAATTCTGCCTACTCAGAGGTACCACAGTAGAATGTAGCAATGCTTGTACTATTCTCTGCACTTTAGCTTGCATATCATTCTCAATCTGCTGGATACGGTTTCCAAGTTTTGTTTCCACCGATTCCACTTTCCGATGCATAACCTCGATTCTCACAAACAACATGGCTGCGAATATTAACGAAATCACAGATACAGCCACTGAGCCTTTCGTGATTTTGTCATTGCAGTTCGTTTGCGAGTTTTTCTTTGCTTTCATGCAAGCCATCATCGATCGTTTGGCGAGGACAATGCAACGTATTATCCTGAAAACTGTTAAAGGTTTACAGGAAATATATTGCTCGATACCTTTCAAATGGTGCATTATTAATAGACATCCGGTTGTACGTATTAACTAAGGAAAAATAGATTCATATTAATTGTTTTCAACGGTGAAAGGCCAGTGAAAGCCGCGAAGTCAACAGGAGATGGGTTTGATGATCACAACCGGTTATCTATATTCAAATTCAGGCTTACAACCTCTTTCCCTGGGTAC